ATTGAAGGGCTGGTACCAAGATGGTGCGGTTGATACGGCTGGTTGTTGATGGGCCGAGGAGGCAATGGCGGGACATAACCTTTGTTCTCGAAATGCGCGACCAAGCGGCCAACCCCTCCCCCTCCTTGAGCCGAACCTAGGCTTTCCATTTCGACATTTTCTACTGGCGACATGGCCACCCCATCGCCGTGGTGGTGAAAGGTCGTGTCGATGTCGGGCGTCCAGTCCATTACCGATGCCGTGGAATAGGCCCGTCCGGTCCTCTGGATGGGCTGCGGAGCCATCGCCGGAGGAGGCGACGAGACGTTGCCGAAGCCATATCTATCCCAACCCTGGTTGGCAAACCCAAACGTATCATCATCGAAGCCAGTCGCGCGAGGCTTATCTGGCGGTTGATGGAACATGTCAACGTGCCCACACCGAGCAGACGGAGCACTGTTGCTCAGTCCGCCGGCAGTCTGTCTGTCAGTCACTGACGGACCTGGGCAAGTCGTGAGACTCGGCTGGAATAATCAGTCTCCAGCGCGATGATTCATCACTCTGTTGGAGTGGCGAGCGTGTTTGCTCAATCAAATCAAGGTCGTCGTGTATGGGAGGCGGGCAGAGGTGCCCATAGTCGCCCGGTGTAGATGAATAGTAAAGAGAAGGGAAATCACAGTGGTAGCGAGGCCTACTAGAACGAGAGCGCTGCGCCCAGTACAAGGGCTTGGCTGGCTGGCTAGGGGCAGATATCGGTATCGTTCCCCAGATATCGGCTGATGTGGGAATCCGCCTTGATAGGGCAACAGCCGTTGTGTGGTTTGGACAAACAACAAGAGCAGCAGCAGAAGCGTGGGAGGAAGACAGCCAAGCCACCCAGTGAAAGAGAGAGCGAGCAAAAGTTCCTTCGTCTAAGTTTCCAAGAAGGGAAATCTCATGTGCCGTCTTTCGAGAAGGGTCAATTTAGAAGGCCCCCGCTGAGATAAGAGAGCGAGATCCCCCAAGTTGGAGCAAGGACAAGAATCGCTCTGGTGTACTCTACTGGACTAATGCCACTGCTACCGCTAGTACGATGGTATTAAACGACGGGACAGCCTAGGCACGAGAGCAGGTGGAGAGGGGCTAGCATGGAAGAGACAACACGAGCCAAACGTTGGATTGGAGGGGATGTAACCTAATGCAGGCTGGTGGCTAACGACTATTGCAACAGCGATGGCGAAGCAAATAATCAGGCCGGGGAAGCAAGTAGGGCTGCCGGCCATTGAGCTGGAGTAGCCAGGGGGGTCGGCGTGTGGGAATGCCACCATCGGCCAGAAAAAGAAGGTGATATGGCCTCAAGCCACCACCCACCAGGGAAAACCACCAATGACAGCGCTCTGATACTGACCCCCTGGTGCCATATTCTCAATGACACTGTGCTCGGACGCAGTCAATGATGGCATTTCGCCTCGCAGCGATGTCTTCAGGCGCACAGCTCGACAGTGCCCGTTGTTAGGCGGTTCCAGAAGGATTCCGCACCCTGTGTAGGCTGTCGTGTGAGAACGAAGAGACGAGAGGCTTGCTGAGAGATTTGCGAACCACTCAAGGCGAGGGACAAGACAACGCCACAGATTGAACCACCACCACTACGATTCGCACCGGTACAACCGACTGCCTCGGGCCACCAATACCAGTTCAAAAGGAGTGACCGAGCCAGCGGGCGGGAAGGCTTAGGGCTCACACCAAAGCCGCCAAGTTCGCTAAATAGATGTTCCTTTCTGGTTCTACTGCAATGGCCTTGTCTTGGTGTACACAGATTGCTGCTTTCAAGATACGGGAGTACGTACTGGGTGCATGTGGCTGTCACCCCGAGTCTCAACTCCGTACGCTAACTATTATAGCACCACTCCGCAAACCCATATGGGCAGCAGAATGGATGAGCGCAGAATGTGGGAGAGCGCCAAACAGGATCCGTACAGCACGTCCAAGCGGAGGGCACACGCTCTTCCAAGATTTGGCAACATGAGCCAGCCATTCGCCAGCGGCGGCGACTCTCTGAACAGTTTATGGTATACTGCTCCGTTGGCGGCACTGCCGCGACCTGCCTTGTGCTGAAAGGATCGCCCAAAGCGTGTCGCAAATCCGTCGGATCGCATTCTTCCTTATCCGTGCGTTCTGTCATGGGCGGTGGGCGTGACCAAGCACTGGAGCCGGGCCGACAATGTCTTGTCCATGATGGCTTGTTGTATGTGACAAAGACGGATCGCAGTCAAGGAACAAGCTGGGGGACGTGGGATGTGAGGAGACGACACTGTGGGGCGCAACACGATTCAGCAGCGGTGGTACAAGCACGGAGTACGGCGCAACATGTTGCTGGCGCCTTCGGCCACCGCCGTGGGTCGAAAACGAAGCCTATCGAGGGTCTGGGGCTGACCCGCGCCGAGACCTTGGTGTCAGCAGCTTCTGCGGGACTAGCAAGGGTTGATTGGTGTCGAGATACAACCTTGAATCCGTTTCCCTGGGCACTGTGGCTTGCTCGTGTGGGTGGCATCTCACGAGATCTCACAGCACCAGCCTGTGCCAAAAAGCGTTCCCGTATCTGCTGCAATTCGCGCCCATGGCCCGTCGTCAAAGAACCTTATCGTCGATAAGCACGCTTGAAATCCTACATCATATATTATAGAGCCCTCTTTTTCAACCTGTCTGGAATGGAGCTAGCAGCGAGGCCGTATCTTCAGTGGCCAACGGTTTGCCCCCAAGTGGGGCAGAGCCTCTCTGACCAAAGCATCGCAGACCCGCTGCCTACGAGGGAAAAACGACTTTGCGGCAAAAAAGGCTTGCGGCAAAAAAATCGCGTGCAATTACGAAGTGCGTGCTACATCCAGCTGGCGTTATCTCTTCTGGCGGCGTCCACCTAGCGCAAGAGCCCCGGCGGTTTACGCCATTTTCGAATTTTTTTTTTTCTCCCTTGATGTCGGTCGCCCTGATGCAGAGGACAGGGCGAAATTCTCGGAGGGAAAATTCCAAATCAGCTAGACCAGCATGATGCTAATATCTGGCGGACGGGGACAATTTCCAGAGCACATACAGTACTGTACTAGCATGCAAAGCATTGACTTTTAATGCGACGTGTTTGGCGTCGATGAGATGGCGGCAGTCGCCGAGCCACATGGTCCAAGTACCTCCAGAGGCGGTACTCGAGCTACTTTCACATGACGGAGAAATACATGTGCCTAGGTAACTCTTTCGTACGAGCAACGGAGCACGAGAATCCTCCCGTGCCTTAGTTTATCACTGACCAGGTTGACCATCAAATATGACTGACCGAGCCTTGTCCGCGGGCGGCTGCTGATAAGGAGCTCATTTAAAGATGATGAGCTAATTTGAGCGACAAAAAAGGATTCATCACTCGCATAACAGTCCTGCAGCAGCAACGTCATGTCTGTCCAGCATTTTCAGCTTGTGAAAATCTGCAAGTCTTTACTCTTGTCTGAGGCAGCGAGCGGGCGGGCAGGGCGCCAGTCAAAGTGGGCGGCAACTGCAAGTACGGAGCAGGCAACGCGACAAATAGCCATTATGAGCAGGTCTGATGAATTTCGTGGCTGATTTCCGAGGCATGCAACACTCCTGGCCCGTACTGCTAGTCCCTCGTACTGTCAGCCGAGTTTGCCAGGGCCCTTTCCAGGCCGAGCCCAATGACGTTGAGTGGTGGGCAAGCGAAGCCAGCTGCTCGAAGTGGCTTGTTTTAGCATTACGAATCGCATGGCCTTGACTGGATGCCGGGATGTTATCCCGATTTGACGGGGGGAGGCGCTCTTATTAAGTTCGGGAGGAAGCCGCATGCATCACATTCCCCTGAAAACCAAGCCAGCTGCTAAAATGGAAAAATTCGACAACTACGTCTAGAATTCAACGCTGAGACAGCCCATGTCTCTTCGTCGCCGTATGATGGAGATGACCCTGGAGATGAGGAGAGCTGTCGAGATTTGGATCTAACCGGAAGGCTGCCGATTTACATAAAAGGAGCGCGTGCTATTCGTGCCCAAATGGCCAATATTGGATGCGGGGACTGACAAGCGGAGCTCAAAGTTGCCGCCGAAAGCTGGAACCTTGCCGAGATGGCCTGGGAGCGATCCACCTGTTGCTTTTTGTTGCGCGAGCGAGCCGACAGCGTGTCAATGCGAGCTGTGTTTCCAGCTCCCTCTTCCGCAAGGTTGTCCGGTTCATCAACCGATGTTGAAACAGCCATGTACCGGCTGTCGGAGACCCTTGCGGCAAGTGTTAGTTTGTGCGTTGCTCATGACTAAAGAGAAATCTGGAGCACTTTGAAGTGCGCGTAACGCCTTTTTTGGAGGCCGAGGCCCAGCGTCCTGCGCAAAAATTTTCGGGGACGGCTCGGGCTTTGTCGGGTTGTTCTGTGGTGCCAGCTTGACTTTGCGCTTGGCCGATAACGACTACTGTTTGGAGCGCGCGGGTGTCAATCTCCTACACTACTTTCTACTCATGCGGCCAACTACGATATCACGATATTCCAAAGGATGAGGCCCAAGACGCATGGCTGCATCGTATCCTAGGCCGCTTTCAATGACACCCGCAGCCAAGAACACGGGGTTTTGATTTCTATTAGTAGTGATTTTCCGGAGAGGCCCTCCGGAGTGGACATTTCCCCAGGAAATGCCATGCCATTAGACGCCAAACAGTGCATGCTGCTTCCCGACGATAGCCGCCGGTCCGCTGTGGCGGTTTCTGGGGATTCTTTCGACCTCCTTTTCTGGGGTAAGGCTGGCCAGCCTCGTTCAAGATCGATGAGATGGGCCGCATCCATCGTTTCTGAAGGATGCGTTAAGCATGGGAGCCAAGGATAACGAGCATGGGAGTGAGAGGAACTATTGTTGCTGTCAAAAAGTCGAATGTCTTTCCCCAAACTTGGCGTCGATATGTTGGGATTTCCATCCCAGAGCCAATCTACCTAACGCGGAAAAAACGTGCGGAGAAGCTCAATGTGCCATCAATGGGCCCAGGTCGAGTCTTTTACCAACAGCGGGCGCTCGCTTAAGTCTGCAATGGCAATAGGAAGCCTCGAAAGTGGGAGAGGCAGTAAAGTTTCCGTCCATCCAGGACCTGTTTCCCGTATGAGCAGCAGACTTTCCTTCTTCTCCGCGTCTGGTGTCGTTCTAATCTCATTCAGGGGGCGAACGGTGACGCTACGGCGCGAGCGGGTGCCACGCCGTCGAACCCAAGTGGCATGCCTTGCTGATCTGGAATGAAGGCGTCATGTGTTACACGGCGGCGACGAACCGAATCTCGTAGAGGGCGGGAAGACTCTTGAGCTGAGGCAAAGACATTTCTCCTAGCACAGCGCTTGTCTCAGAACCGTATTCGCAAGGAAAATTCTGGATGCCACGGCTTCCATCCGCTCTAAAGCATCCGGTTGTTAGCTGCCGCCGCCTGGGCTGCAAATGGCGGCCGTATGCAGGATTCGAGTCAGGAGAAGCAACCTGCTGCTCCTCACGAGAGAAGAAGTCACATGCCCCTGAGCAGAGTCCTCGGCAGGAACATGCAGTTGCCTTGCAGTATGCCTGTGTCACACAATTCTGTTTGTTGTTCAGCCCTGTGTCTCTAAACGCCGGCCTGTGTTACCTTTCCCAATACGCTATCGTGATGTTTGGACGAGCACTATTGCACAAGGCACCTGGTCGGAGTCGCCCGAGTGACTGGTGTATCCCTTGCAACTGCGGGCTCAATCTGGAGGCTCAGTAGATAAAGGAGCAAAGGGGAGAGAAGCTATGTGTCATGCTAAAAGATGGACCACAGCTCACCTGAAAGAAGAGGGAAAAAAGACATACGATGGCGTTGACATGTGATGTTCATTTTATTTCTGCATAGCAAAACGCGCACGGGCTCTGTTAGACTATCGTGGCAAGTGGAAACAGGACGCACAGCTGCATTAATTAGTTTCATCCTTCAATGGGTATTTCGTATATGCCAACCAGCACAGCCTCTTTTTGTTTTGTCTAGGAATTTGGGTCGGTTCGAGTCCCCATCTAGTCCTTTTTGCCTTTTGCCTTTTGGTGGTAGGATGAGACACCTTGCTGACGATAAGCGGCGGATGCAATTCCGCGTTGGGAGTTGCGAGTCATTATGCTGGTGGTTTGAACTATTTTTACTATGAATGGATGACACGGCGTGGCGAATGTGAGGCGTTGTGCGGTATAGTATGATGTATGACTAGCATAATGTTTATTCGAAAGATGTGAAATAGTGAAATTGATTTGTGTTTTTTTTTGAGAGATTTGTGTTTTTGTTGTCATGGGAAGTTGGTTTAGTGGGCCGAGGGATATTTAGTATTGTGTCAATGGTGATAACGATGGCGACATGGAGAGAAATTTTCTGGTGGAATTATCGATGGCTGGTGATGTTTGGGTAGGGTTGATGGGAACTTGGGGGTTGTTTCTGAAGAGGGTCTTGCTGGGATGATAGAGTTGGTTGGAGAGAAGAGTGTTACCTTGGAGTGAGTGACTTCAACATGGCGCGGAGGTGGCCGTGTCGACTGGCGACGTAGTCTATGATTAAGGAGATTTTGGCTCAAGGTAACAGCAGGAGAAATGACTTTGCTAGAGCAATAGATGGATGTGTAGACTTTACCATGTATTTGTAGTTTGTTGGAACATGACTTGACTGGAACAGGGCAAGAAGTGCATGAACAAGGATTCAAGAAATGAGTGAGTAGACGGATGTAAGGTGAGGTTTAGTTTGCAAATATTGATGAAAGATGGGAATAGCAATCGAGGTTTCTTAGTCAAATACAGATGAGCCTCTGCAGAGGCTTGATATGTTGACGACTTCTGAGACTTTTCCGTAGACATTTCAGCGAAGACATCAACTATTACCTTACTAACATTCCAGTTGATTTAATTCATAATTCAAATTGGCGTGTGTTTGATCCCGGAGAAAGAATACCTTTGTAACCAAGAACATGGTGTTTAGAGAAGCAAACGTTTCTTAGTGAAAATTTATATACAGATATACAAAATATGATTACTTGGATCGAGTTTACTATTGTACACGGCTTCAAACTGTAGAAGGAAAATGATCTCAATGAGAGTATATTTAATGTGCATGGCCACACCAATCATCTACATTACGGCGTGTAAAATACTTTCTCATGAGTACTATAGCCCCTCCAACAGGAGACAATAGACTTGTTCCGAAAAATCCCCATGGAAGCCGTCTCATGAAACCTATGATTTTGCGCTTTATATTCGGAGCATTCGGTTCCTGAGGAGTTTCTGCCACAGGATACGCGAGAGCCACATTCCAACCTTCTTGGACGGATATAAAAAGAAGTAGATGTGTATGCAAAACGCCAATTCTGGGAAGAACGGCACCATCTGGACCAATGCGACTGTATGCTTTTGGTGTTGTTATAGGGTAATGCCCGGTGACTGGTACCAGGTCGTCGACGTGCCAATATGTATGTAGCTGGGTGTAACGATCCTGAAATAGGTTTGTGAACTCTGCTGCAACCTTTGTGTCTAGACCAGGAGCGCTGAAGGCATATAACTCGGAGTTTTCCCATCGAGGTCGTTTCTCTTCAGCGTAATGTTTAAGTGCCCGCATAGCTAAACATCCTCCAAGACTGTATCCTACCGCAGTGATATCCCTTCCTTTGGCAGTCTGTTCGTTCATCCAATTGAAGACTCTGTCTTTGATCACCCTGTAGCTAAACGATGCGACGCTTTTAAAGTTTCCATCAGCCCAGGCGCCAGCTGGTTCAACATTCAGACGGCCTTTTCGATCACGGTATTCGGCTGGATGAGTTGCGGTCCCTCGGAAGAGCAGTATTGCTCTGGCGGCGGGATTATTCACGGGCTCGAGGTAGTGCCATACACAACCGGCGGCGAGGACAGATACGCGCGTGTCTGTGATTCTATACGTGGTGTCGTATTCGGGATGTTGTGGGTTGAGATTTAGGTTGATGTCTGCGTGTTGGGTGCCGTTTGTTCCGGGGAGATGAATCGCTGCTAGGATATTTGCCCAGATTTGAAAGTTGCCTTCGAGTGTATGGAGTCTCGGGGCAATATAGGTATTATAGTTTTCTAAATATTGGCGTTTGTTATGAGACGTAGCTGTTCGCATCCTCCCGGAGTCTTCGAGGAAGTTGTTGTGATTATTCCAACGATCCATCGTATGAGCCTCGACTATAACGGCGTGTTAGAGGAGAGTTTCAAAAGTAGTCTCATGGTGAGTAACTATTACAACAAGCCTTTTGGCAGAATATATAGACTTTTAATGTATTTTATAGTTATATGCATCTTTGTTGATGTTGGCGCATCGGACAGTATATACAAAATTCAAGTTTTGGAGCATTCCAGAGATATGTCTGTATTGGAAGCGTAATGGGTAAAGTAGTGGTAATAGATAACTAGCTAGAGCCACAATTCTTGGGCAATGATGCCAAACACAGATGGCAATTGTTATGGTTTATTGCCTTTAGTTGCTAAAGCGTGGAAATTACTTCTTTTCGTGGTAAATAAAGGTATGCCACCCTGAGTTATAACATAAATCTTGGCAAAACGATAGCCTCGCGTTGGGGGGCTCCCTTTCCTCAGCTTCACAAGTTGGCGACAATTGGCTTAAACTTAGTTGAAACATCCTTCAGCTGTTTCAGCTGCATAGACAGTATAGTTGTCTCATTGAAAGAATTATATAATGAGTTGTATTAAGCTTTCCAATAAGAACTGAAAGCTAGTCGAGCTGACAGCTTCTTTGGAATGTGGCTGTCACTTGATGCAGCAATTGGCCAGAGAAACCACAAGTGAATAAGCTGAACATATGTAAGGTAAGTAAAGAAAATATTGTCTAGATAAAATCGAAAGATCGAAATACGTATAGCTAATTGACATGGTTTGGCGATAGAAGTGTAGATTATATGGCACAAGTGGGCTGCATTACCTTGTCTATTTGCCGATGATTCGTCGGCCTGAATGGTTCCACGGCATCGAGGAATTGTGCATCAAGTCTAACAAATGATTTGAACCACCCTTCGAAAGGGCACAATTATCATGGCTCTAATTCAAGTTTGTCCGAATTTCGTCCCCTGCTTAGATAAACAAATCGAATGGAGGCAACCGTCCATGCCTAAAAACATTACGTTAAACCCATATTAAGCAGCAACAGGCACAGTTAAAATTCAGCAATTAAATATATTATATTAAAAAGTAAAAAGTAATGCAAACTACCAGCATCCCCCATTACATATACACCTCGTCCCTAATTAAAAATCCTACTATACAAGAAAAAAAGCTACTAATACAACCAACCTACCAAACCCTCCGGCCAGGTCGAAGCAGAACTACCAAACGACAAGCGACACGTCACGTAATGTTTATTGTCAACAGCAAAAAAAGAGTCCGAAATACATAAAAAGACAACCATAATTCCAACCAAACACCCCAATCTGCTCCCCCTTTGTTGTTTAAAAGAGTCATACGTGATGTGATACATGTCCCGCATAGTCTCTTCTACTTGAAACTCGTTCCGTCCTCCCATCCAAAGTGCTCCATTGCCTAGAGCTTCAAAAGTGTGTTTCATGCGATAGTGTTTTTCTTCCTTCTACCGCCCCTATAACTCCTGATCATATGGGCTTTCTGTCCATTTCCGTGGTTGATTTTGCAATAGCGCGTAAATTGAATGTTAGCGCCAGTTTAGTCCTGATGTTTTGAAAAGAAAAAATAAAGAAAGAAAGGTTGAAAATTTGGTGAGAAGAATAAAACGAAAGGCCGACGGGTGGTTGAGCCCAAAAGAAAAGTATCACGCCCAGCAAGCGAACAGAAGGCGGTTGTTCATCTCGCTGCGTCGTGCCGGGATGGAAATAAGAGAAAAGGTCCTCAGCAAACATGAGGACATGAAAGCAGCCACTGGTATGGTCTACACTCAGCACACTTCAGCCCCTCCAGCTTCTTCTCTGAAGCGGATGCCACCATCAACGGCAATGCCGCCTTGCACCCACGGCGTGGCCAATACTTGCTGTAATGTCCAGCGGCTTCGTGCACGCTTGAGAAGACCCTCTGTGATGTTCATGGCGTCCAGTAGACCTCTCTCCTTGAAACGGGCTTCGTTAGCCTCATGATCGCCGTCATCACCGCCATACTCGATCCAACGCCATTCGCCTCTTGCAATCCGGTGGCTCTTTCGACTACGCATTCTATGAGAGTCGTTCATCCCCGGAGGAGGATCAAACGGGAGTCGAGATTCGAGGAGGGCATAGAGCAGCACACCAAGCGACCATGCGTCGGTAGCACGACCGTCGTAAGGTTGGCCCATGATAACCTCTGGAGCAGCGTAATCTTCAGATCCGCAGCGTGTCTCGAGCTTCTCGTCCTCTGCAATCCGTCTTGATAGGCCTAGGTCGGCCAATGCTATTACTGAATGTGGGTATGTGGTCCAGTCGACTGATGGATCTGCGAGTTCGCTGGGCGTAAGATTGACAAGAACGTCTGAAAAGATTGTTAGCAAGGTTTACCGTTCCCCCTCATCGATTCAAAGAGCTTACTCTCTAGCTTGATATCGCGATGAACAATCATTTGCTCATGGAGATATTTCACAGCACCGACCAATTCGGCAAAGATTCGTCTCATCAAAGGCGGTGTCAAGAGCTTTCGGTGGGCAGTAGCAACGTCAAACAGGTCTCCTCCAGGGCAGTAGGTCAGGACAAGAATGGCCCTCGTGGGTTCTATGCTCCATGCCATGAGGTTGACCAGGCTAGGATGTCGAATGCTCTGCATGATTTCCAGCTCTCGCTTGAGACTCATCTCAACACGCTCTTCACTGGCTCCCCCCTGAGGACCATGCTCGCACACCTTGATGGCAACCAATGTCTTTCGATCAAGTGGGGGGTCGGTCATGGTTGTACTTCCTAAATCGGCAGAGAGATGCTTAGGCTGATCCATCTGACTGGTAGCCAATACGACTCTGCTAAATGTGCCTTGACCCACAGTTCGCACTGAGCGCCAGCGCCTTCGTTTTCGATCATGCCGGTCAAAGGCTTCAAAATACTCGTATCGTGAGGTTGCGGCGGCGTCGGTAGAGTCTCTCGAGCTCTCGCTGGGAGGGGGCGTCGGCGGCTTCGCAACGTTGGGAGACAGGCCGCGGGACTCTGCCAGATTTTGTTCTCTCCTCATCTGGGGACCTTGAGAATCAGGCTTGGCATGAGGCCCAGACACGGAGACAATTCTCTTTGGAATGGCTGTGGGATCCGGCTGGGTATATTCGCTGAGGCTCCGGTTTCTTGTGTGAGGTTGAGATTCAGATTGAGACTGATGTTGTTGAGCAGGTTTAGGTAAAGTTTGGCTAGCCTCGTTGCTTTCTGTTAGGCTGGCATATGCCTTGCGCCTTGAGGAAGAGGCTGAGGCATTCTGGTTCTTCATTGGGCCCACTGGAGCTCCCATTGTAGGTAAATCCTCTCCAACACTGCTCAATAGACTTCGGTGTTGAGGCGGGGACACAGAGCCCACCGCCAGCCTCCTCCACGGTCCAGGGGATTCTCCTGATAAGAGTGGACTCGGCAATGGCGTCACGTCGCCCATTGCCGTAATCATGGGACTTGAAATAACACTGCTAGTACCGCTAGCAGATCCAATTGAATGCGCGAGAGCGGCTTTGAGACTCGGGGTTCGCGTCAGAAGGCGTATGCTGTTGGAAGACGATTTGTGATTCAAGGGAGTGGGGATGCGAATGGGCGAGAGACTAGTATGTCCAGTGGGAGACTCGCGGTGGTAGATAGAAGGAGAAGCTGTAGAGGAAGAAGAAGAAGGTGCAACGTTTGTGGAAATGCGGAGGGATGAAGTTGCATCGTGACAAGAGTTGCTAGAGTCTAGAAACGATCTACCTCGATGGCCGGCATCTTCAAATGGAGTAGACTGAATTGGAGGCGATGGAGCAATGGTTGTAGCCTGGAAGCTGACAGGAGGCGGCGGAGGATTGGCTGCCAAGGCTAACTCGTCATCTGGAACAAAAGCGCGTTGGGCGTCAGGTCGAATCTCGGACAGACAGCTTGAGCTTGGGGTAAAGTTCAGATTCTCAGATCTTGCCGTCGAGGGGGGATTGAAGCCATCGTGGGGTATCGAGGTTGGCGGGTGAAAAGGAGAATTGCTCATGGCTGGACAAGAAGCGTCCCGGTCAGAAGCCTGTCGAACATGAGCATCCATCAATGCGACTCATAGCCACCGGCATGGCCAGGGCTGTCACGTACGGCTAGGCGGCTGCGGACGCCGCGTCGATGGTCAATGTCGCCCCGAAGGCTCCGGTATCGACGGCTGGAGGCGGCGAGGCGTTGAGTTGTGCAGGGAGCAGCGTCAGAAGGACGAAAAAGAGGCACGCGGTCGTTCCAAACAAGGGCGTTGCGAGGGAGGGACCGTCGCGGAGGGAACAAGTCGAGAAGTGAGGGGTTTGGCAGGGCAAAACCAAAACCAGAGCGGCGCTCTCCTATAACGGTGACATCTAGGGCTTCTGCGCGGTGCCTCTGTGGCGGAGGATTGGCGGATGACGGGCCGAGAGAGCGAAAAGGGCAGAAGACAGAGCGTTTTGCGAGTCGAGATTTGTCTTGTCGCGAAGGAGTCAGTGCAACGAAACGACGTTGGTGGTGTCCGATCCAAAGGACGACGTTCCGGGTACAAGCGAAGCGCATGACATGCCTGCGGGTCTACTCCCTGTTCATGTACAGAAGCGTGTAGCAGGTACAACAGCGACTCGGGCCCCACCCACAGCCGTAGGGCGACCACCAGGTGGGAGATACCGGGGGCTACAAGGCCCGCGCTAGCCCGAATCAGGCCGGGCGGTACGTTACATAAAGTACTGGGCACGACTAGAGAGGGACTACGGCGTTGCTAAGAGGCCTAACAGGCAGAGTTGCTGCAACCTGAAGGCCCATTCCACGAAATTTGGTTCCATTTGATGTTTGTGTCCAGTCTGTGTCCAGTGTGGTAGGTGCTTTTCTCGGGAGGTACTCGGTACCGTACTCGGTATTGTACCACTAGCGGGTACTTCCATGCCACAGCCGGGACAACTGAAAACTCAGATCGGCGGGCAAACAATGCCCAGAAAGATTAAAAAAGAAAAAGAAACACCGCTGTCGAATCATGGGGCATGTGATGCTCCGATACAAATCCCCAGCTTATCACCATAACGTCATCCGCTCCGAAGGGCCGCAACGTGCATCGGCTTTGGCGAACAAGTGGACTCGTTGGAAAAGCGGGGGCTGAATTATAACGTACAAATTGGCTGAGCTAGCGCCAATAACTTTCAACACTTTGCTGGTATCCTTGAAGTTAGTCGCTCATCTCATCTCATCTCAGTTCATGGGTCGCTTTAGCAGGCTATCTCCACGTGACAAGATCCCGGCCGTGTGGCTCAATGGCAGAGCGTCTGACTACGATTAAGTACATCAGGAGGTTGCAGGTTCGACCCCTGTCTCGGTCAATGATATAAGTTCACATCCTGTTTCAATTCGCCATTGGATTGGAACGGGAATTTCTTTTTGAGACTGTCGAGTTTTTGTTTTATTTTTCTCAGTTTCGTCGCTCGAAGCATTCTTGAACCACTTACCCCTGCTCCTCAGCCACAGTTCAATGGCCGTGTGGCTCAATGGCAGAGCGTCTGACTACGATCAAGTATATCAGGAGGTTGCAGGTTCGACCCCTGTCTCGGTCACGAGATCGATTTCAATTCCACGCAAGGGGAATCAATTTCTTTTTTGTTTCGTCTTCTTTTGCCTCTGTGGAATTTCCATCCGGCTTCCCTCTTTGGGTAAGCGAATGCGTGCCCGTGACTCTGCGTTGATGCTTTTTGGTCATTCGATCAAAAGGTCAATGCCAAATTGCCAAGTTGTGATAGCCAAGCGATATTACCGTCAAGGTGAAGGTGCTTCGGGGTCCAATTAGCGAGCTGCCAGCATCCATGTTATCAGCAGCTGTCTGTGCTATCCTAACACTTGATTGTGACGAACAAGGGCTTGAACGTGAGATTCGGTATGAGAAAGTATTGGGAACTTGATCCTGTACATGTGACGCATGACCTTGCGAAAGAGATTTGGCAGAGTTAATGGTCTTCAAGTATCCCAAGCACACGCAATTTTACAATATGTAAGCATCCGAATGTGTACTAGGACAGACAATGCTGGTGTATATTGAATTATACTCCTTGGCAATTCAATTTTTTAATGGGCTGCATCGACGAGTTAGAGGTAGCTGAGCTCTGAGCTATTGACAAGATGGAGATGCCCAACCTGGAAACTTTTGGTGTTGCTGATGCAAGGTACCGGTACCTAGGCCGTAGCGTCAATCGTAGTGCCAGACAAGTACCGGGCACCATGTGTTTTAATTGATTCGAGCCGTGCCCCACGTCGAGACGCGTCAAGTCGCGTCCCTCCACACTTCTGCCACTCTCAACCACCAAAAATCCACCTCGACAGCATCAGGTTCAGCTTTAGCTTCACACGTAGCTAGCAATCATGATGCGACAGGATTACAACAGAATCGACCCCAAGAGGCGGAATGTCGTCGATTACCGAAAGAAGCAGTTTGCCACGCCGCAATTCCAGGACACGCAGTACCCCCACCGCTTGAACTTTTACGCAGATGCCCCAACAGCAGACATCACGCTCGAGCAGTTTGAGCAATGGGCCATTGACAGACTACGAGGTAATTCAAGGCTACTCACTACTATAATGCAATATTCAGAGTCTGACACTGCACAGTCCTCGCCGAGCTTGAGGCATGCTCTTTTCGCAACAGATCGCCTGCCGAGACGGCAACCCACATGAAGCCCATCCTCGACAAATACCTCCCTCTCGATTCCAACAGCTCTAGCAACACGAAGCTGCTCTCACAACGACAAAAGGATCACTACAGCCATTTCATCTTGAGGCTCGCCTTCTCTTCCACCGAAGACCTGCGCCGGAGATTTGCTCGTGTTGAGACGATGCTGTTCCGAATGCGATTCAACAGTGACGATTTGAGCGAGCGATCTACATTCGTATCCAGCTTAGATCTCGACTGGTGGGAGCCCGTAACAGAGGATGAGAAGATACGGTATGGTGCCGAGCTGGCAGCCATGGTCAGCGGAAAGAAGGGTAGCAGCGAGGATGGGACATGGTTCAAAGTGGACTGGGAGCGAGTGCCCGACTTGGTGGAGAGTCGACGTGTGTTCCTGAAAGCTGGAAAGGCATATGTGCCTGGGAGAGAGCAATCGAGCATGGTTGTAGCAGAATTCACGAGCCGGCTTGAGAGACAACTAGAGGTGAGTCGCACGGCCTTGTCCATCACAATTTTTCAGTCGACTGACACGACATCTTCAATGACTAGCTCACAGCTCGGGCTCTGCCACGGCTTGACGAAGATGACCGGTTGACGCCCATCCTTAACCACCTCTCCAAAAACTTCATTACTCCCGACTCGGCTTACATGTCTGGGTCGACGGCGCCCACTGGCGCGCAAATCTCGGCTGCCAACGTCGACAATCTTTCGCAGCATTTCCCTGCATGCATGTCCAACCTGCATCGGTCGTTGCGTCGCGATGCTCACCTTAAACACTACGGTCGTCTTCAGTACACGCTGTTCCTCAAGGGTATCGGCTTGAACCTGGAAGAGTGTCTCGCGTTTTGGCGGGGCGCCTTTCACAAGGTGACAGATGACACATTCAACAAGGAATACCGGTACAACATTCGCCACGCTTACGGAGACGTTGGTGGCGACACGAATCGACGAGGCGGCGGCTATAGCCCGTTTAGCTGTCAGAAGATTCTCACTGAGCATCCTCCGGGACCTGGCGAGGCTCACGGCTGCCCGTACCGGCACTTTAATCTGGAGAACTTGACTTCTTTGGTACAATCCATGGGGGTATCTGACAGATCAGTGTTGCAGGGTGTCAAAGAAGACAAGGATAATCAAAAGTTTCACATGGCATGTAATCGGTAAGTTGCCTGCCCCTGTTCCTGTCTTTGGGATTTACATTTCAAGAGCACGATCTGCAATTATTACGGCGAGGCTAATTCAACTACACAGCGTGTTTGAACATTTACACAAGGCCGAGATTAAAAAGGCAAAGGATGAGGGTGTCATGACATCTAATCAGCTCGAGACAATTGTACATCCCAACGAGTACTTTAAACGAAGCTACCTGCTGAAAAACCTCGGCAAGGAGACTGATGTCAAGATGGAGGGCTAAACATTATTTACACATTGTCTACACGTTGGCTACGCGTTTTACATAAGGGAGTGACACAGATGGCAGCGCCATGCTGTCATGGGCTACAAGATAGAGGGAAGCATTTGGGAGGGATGAAGCAACTGGGCGTTTTTGTCAAACTGTATTAGGATATGAGATATTAGGCAACATTTGCGTCAAGACTGTATGTATCATGATGAGGTGGTATCTCTCAACACCATTAATGCCAACCAAGCCGGGTTACATCAAACACGGCATTTCACCAGCGTCATCAAGATCATCGCACCATTCTCATCTTGAGCCTGTCCAACACAAAACCCACCTGGGCTTTCATAGCCCAACGCCCCTCCCCTTGACGTCCGTCTCTCGTCTGGCTCAGACCCCTACGCGAGCTAAGGCAAGTGACCCGGTTGCCAATGATGCTAATGATGTAGGTACCGAGGGCGTTTGGTTCATGCACCTTGTTTTTTTGCTGAAATGATGTAGTGCATACATACAGAAGCCATGCATCATCTCATCATGACTGAACGAGGAGGGACCCTTTGGGGTTTTCGGGATAAAGGTGCCTTTAGGCATACGCCCAGATGTGTTACGATTCACGAGCCCCGGTTTTTAAGAAGACAGTCGAGGGGATGTGTGGGTTCTTGGTGGTATTGCTGGATAGTTGTATAAACTGGGGGTGGAGGGAGAAAAGCGTATCTAAGTCGGGGATATTTCGTGGTGTTGGAGATTGTTTTGTTTGTCTTTGTTTATCTAAATACAGACAGACACGTGGGAACATTGAAGTAAGGCATTGAGGTATTTCGATTGCGAAAGACGCCCGAATATGCCGAGGCAATCACAATGAGCTGATGGATGGAATCATGCAATGGGCTCATCTTTGAAAAGGGATCCATCAAAAAAACGCAAAATTTTAAGCCGTGCCGTGAGATTCCCGAGAGTCCTCCATTCCCGGTATCAATAGTCGCAATGTTCATGCGCGCTATATCGTCAACCTCTTCCGTTTTGCTGTCAAACGGTCCAAAACGGGCTTAAAAATAGACTTATCGTCAACACACACGGAAGTGGGTGTCCTCCTCCCCCCATGTAAAAAAAAAAAATTCGATACGTGTACTAAAAAGCGTCCGTCTCTTTTTGCGATACGGAGATTCTTTCCTTCTTTTTTTTCACGGTATGGGAGGAGACAAGGGTGTAGTAGCATCCGAGCTAAAACAATCTGCTGCACGATGATATCAGAAATACGGAGGAGGGCGTGTGCGGGCGAGCAGAAATGAGACCAAAGCAAACAAGGGTCGTTTTTTTCTCTCTCTCTCGCTCTTTTAGTTTGGGAGCACGATGACGACACGGGGCATGTTGCTAGTTTGGGGGACAGGGGGTCTCAGATTGTGCTGGATAAGTGAATGTCTTTTTGATTCCCTGGATTCGTGAATATCGTGAGTGCTGCATCCGACGCTTGAATTGGGGGAGATTTGCGGTTGCATCTGTTTTTCAAGCGAGGGGGCTAGAAATGGGCCAGGGTGAGTGTGTGTGTGTGTAAATGCTTATGTCGCGTAGGTATTTAACCAAGGAAAGCGAATAGCTTGCTGCAATGTTTTATTTTTGAACAAGGCTTGCATATAGATGATGGCTATGTCTACAGATTAGATGTTAGTGAAGAGCAGGTTTGGGAGGGGGTGAGACAGGCTGTGTGCGAGGATGTTGCCGATGCATCGATCGACTAGGGCCAAAGTGCATCTTCTTCTTGGGCGTGTGCTCGATATCGCGATGATGATGACGACTGGGGGGGGGCCGTTGAATGTGGATTAAAAGAAAGAGGGGAACAAAAGGAGAGTTTCTTTTTGAACATTGCTGTCCCAATTACGGATACATGGGTATCTAGCTGAAGAAAGAGAGTGTGTGATGTTGACAGGCACGCATTGCATCATTGCGCGGCGATGACGGCAAATTCTGGGGTCGAAATGATGGAGACGGACGGCAACAGGGCAAGGCTTGGGAAGCATGGACAAGGCTGGCCGGCTTATCAACCAATGAGCGGGATGCCCTGTATCTTTTGGAATACAGAGCCCAGGGACAGTGTGTACGTGTACGCGTAGCTTCGCCAGCATCGTGGAATTAACTATCAGGGGGGCTAGGAGAGCGAGCGGCTTTGTGAGGGCATCTACGGACGGCAGAGATAGAGAGCTGTGTCAGCGGCGAATGCAGCGTGCGGAGTAGCGTCTGACAGGAGGCATCAGCCTTGTCTGTAATAATCGGTACTCCTGCTCGGTATAAGTGAGTGACATCCAATGACAAATAACGGGATAATGTATTAGAAAACGAGAATACTACTGGGATTCTCAGCGAAGAGTACAGTACGGGATAGAAACAGGCATTACATGTAGCTACAGCACGTCTATTTGCGCTCACTCAGGTGCGGAGTAGCGCGCCAAAATGGAGAATCCATGGATGCCATTGATCCCACGGCCCCCTCCCCCCAAAAACCCACGGCGAACGAGAGGCCATCGTGAGAAGAACAGGTTCGTCGCGACTGGCCGACGCGATGTGACGCGGATTTGGACCGCCAAGATGCGGGGAGGGGGAGGGACGTGCTAAGCTGCAACACAGGCAAATGAGCTATCAGGTATAATGCAGTGCATTGCCTACGAGTACTATATTTCTTCATGCTCATAAATGAAGTTGTATGTACATTGCATCTAATGCTAATGCTCGTGCGTGCAGGTATGTAGGATCGAAATGCTGTGCTATGCTATGCTGCGCTGTGCTGCTATTATTAAACGCCAATGCCACCACGCCCAGTCCCCTTCTCTTACACCAGCGCCCGCATCTCTCCTCATCCCATGTCCCAATACCAGGATCCCCGATTTCCCTTACTCGCGAAACTCGCCCAGTCAGCGGAAATAGCCGTCGTGGGAGGCTCCGTAATGGGATCTAAAAGGCGGTAGCGGACGATCCCCTAGTCCCTCTCCCGTGTCTCTTGCGCTGCCTCAGCTCTTCTGGGTTCCCCTTTTATTATCACATGTACGAAGCGTCTGTGTAATCATGAACCCGAACAAAAAAGATGACAGAAAAGGCGTGCAGTAGAGTAAAATACGAAGCCCAGCCAATCTTTGTTCCCCCTTGGCGGTGCTATTTGATGATTGCATACATGTACATTACATGCACATGTGCCCATCCATGCCTTATCTTGTCCTTCCAATCCTCGCCAGTCGTCCAAGAGCGGTATCAATCTGCTTCGCCTGTCTGTATCTTTCTCTCTATTTCATCCTATCCTGTCCAAGTTTGCTTCCTTCAGCTGCTGCTGTCCAGCCAATAGAATCAGTGATCCTTCGGCCAATAGAAACAATAAATCCGTCTTCCGAGTCCCTTCCCCCTCTCCCCCAGGCACGGATTTACTCCCTGCAGTTTGGCAAGTTTGATTTGCCGCGCAAAGCGCAGCGAAAATACCTGTACATTGCCCATACCGTCCTATGTAATACAATCCCATGGCTCTTACTGGCCGCTAAATCCAGAAAAGCAAATATCGATTCGTCCAATCTGGATGCTTCTCCATATGGAACAGTCGCATGCAAGATGTACACGCGCGCATGTTGTATACGCAGCTTTCTCAGCGCTTTTGCCCTGCGTCTAGACTCGAGAAGGGAGGCTGGGCTCGCGCGATAGTGCCACTCTGCAGAGGTCATGTGAACCATAACTCCGAATCCTCTTTGGCCTCGTCCTTTCTCCAACCCGCGCTTCTGCACGGAACGGCTACGGCTCGGGGCCATTGGGGGTGAAAGTTGTGAATGAGACAGCGGCAAGTAGAGTGAATGCTCCCTCGGAGATGCAACCGCAGTAAGCCCCCAGAATGCGTTCCCCCTCACCTCACTGATGCCACAATGACAGGCGGTTTATTGCATGAATTGAACGATGCCCAGCCTTGGTTCGACTGACCAGGCCCTGGGCATGGATGTCCGAGGATGGCACTCTTTGGGAACTAGTTTGGAGAAACATATGATTGCCCCAAGATCAGACAATGGCGGTCGGATATCCGAATCTCCCATCTACCTAGTTTCAGGAACAGCCGCCCTCGCATATTCCCCCTCAAGCGAGACACACAGAGACAGAGAGAGCGTCAATATCCCAGCATCCAGCCGAGTTCCCTTACTCGTGTGCGCGGACCTGCTCAACTGGGCGATATTCCCAGTACAACCACGGAGCTACCCCAAAAAGGGACGCGTCTCTGCGGCACCCGTACGCCCTCCTTGTGTGCATATTGTGATCTCTCCCGTGTGCAAGCGAATGCATGATATGATTTGTTTCACTCTTCTCATTATTCCTCACATAAAAAGAACTAGTGTGAATTTCGCGATGGATGGGACCAATATTGAGCCAGCTGACACTTTGTCTCTGACCCCCGGCCCCCTTAGGGAACTTGTACTTTGATTACCGTAAGGAACGGGCTGCAGAATGCGGCGTCTGAGTCCGTGAGCCTTTTTTTTCCCCCAAGAGACTACCACGGAGAGCACTATATTTTGTTACAGGTTAAATGCCTCTTTGCAGGAAAAATGGTACGATGGGAACAACTGCCGTGTGGACAAACAGACGGCTAAGACGGAATGTCTGATCCGCGGCAACTCTAGGCGGTTCGTGCGGCCCGATCGGGCGGGCGGCTTGGGAGGTCATTTCACGGTGTAAGTCGTGAGAATCCATTCAACCACGAAGTAATACTCGCTCCAAAGTACAGCCGACCACCACGGCCAGTCTCCAGAGACAAAAGAAAGAGGAAACAATTAAGGAATTACCCGCAACTTGATCCATCTGTTTAAAGCACAATACGTAGAGGAGATGTTCAGGCCGAATTGTAAATTGTGTTGAAGCCCTTCCCCAGAGTGCGGTCCCTATAACCCGATCTACACAGCACCTCCAGCTGTGCTCAGGAACCGCCAATCCATTCCCGCTAGCCCCAGGCACAGCACCTTTAGCCTCCTCCTCCCCCTTCATTTTCTAAACATGCCCCAGCGTGTCTTGAACAATACAACGCCGCCTCCAAGACAATAAGACCATCAAACAAATTCTTAAAACCGTTTACTGCTGATGGACTCTAGCTGGCAAGTCATTTACACCTAATCAGTTCCTCCATCCTAACGTATTTCTTATCGGAAGTTTCCGTCAAGACGCTGCAGACACGTGGGCGTGAGAATTGGACAAAAAGGCCGCCTCCATCTCTCTCGGCATGGGCGAGCGACGATAGGCAAGCTGGGCCTCTTTCACAGATAGAGTACACTCGCATCTAAACAAGTTTTTTTTTTGTTATTCCCGCTGATAATTCCCATATTTTTGAGATATTACCAGGGAAAAAAAAATTAAGCAATTTGGGTTCACTAATCAGAAATCGGCAGCTCTTACCGCGCTCGGTAGGGTACCATTGTTGATACTTCACGGCCAGCCTCGTCTCACCACAACGCCCGCCCACCTCTCTCTCCAGTCTCTTTCAACAGACACACACACACACGCATGCTTCACGATGGCTCCTAATTTCGTCTAATCGCTTGGAATTGCCCTACATTATACTTTTCATGCATGTTAATACTCCACACACCCCCAAAGACGCTCTTCATCCAAAAGCACAAAGTGTTGTAGCCCATCCATCCACGTAGTCTCGCATCGCATCGCCTCGCATCTGCATCTGCATACAAAAGTCGAACGAAAACCCTACATCCTACGAATAAAAACCAAGCCGAAAAAAAATGCCAAGAAGAATCAGAAAGAAAAGTCCTACGCGCATATGTACATACGAGTACATGTAGGCCTCACATCAAGTCACACCGCAGAATCAAAACTCTCTCTCTGCCGCTCGCCTAACATGTCCCAATCCCAGTCCTAGCAAAAAAAGAGACGGGAACATTCCAGGCCCCTCTCCTCGCATGCATTGCACGCTTGCTGCACGTACACTCATTCAGACGAGTCTAATCCCGGTAAACAAACCAGTCAAAACTACTGGATTCAACTCCGTACACACCTTCAATAACAAAATTAATAAAAAGAAAAGACAAGAAAAATGACAGAGCCAAAATTGCCAAGACCTATCAAAGACAACAGGGTCCAGATTTTCTTTTGTCTCTCCCATGCTAGACACTAGAGTAGGTACTCGTACAGTAGTAAAGCCGCGGCTACGCAAATCCAGACCCACGCGAACGAAACCTTGTGCACATCATGCACTGCATATTTCACAGCTTGTATGAAAGTTCGGAAAGAAAAAAAAAAGAAGCGATGAAGCGATAGAGAAAATGTTTGTTTGTAGTCATGTAAAAAATCTTGCATTCTAATAAACTATAAAAGCACGGGCATCGTTGGCCCAGGTGGTATCACTATACTAGCCAAAGAAAAAAAAAAAGATCCCGCATCGTCTATTTCGCAATCCAACATAAGAAAAAATGAGAAGAAAAAAAAGTGATATTAGGTAATGCAACACCTTGCGCTCGCGCAAGTAGAAGTGAAGAAGGAAAATAATCCGTTATCCCGTCCCGTCGTATATGCACCTCCCGACGCTCAGCGCCAATGCAGGAAGAGAGAAAATGAGACGATAGTAATAAAGACGTCAGTGGCTGTGCCAGAAGCCCCCAAAGGAAGCCAAGGGAGAAGCAAGAAAAAGTCGAGGCCACGATGCCGTGCCAAGGAAAAACCAAAGGGCGATAAAACCAAGGCTAGCTAGTCTCTCAACGGCCCCCATCGAGGAACCCACTTCTTCCTCTTGTGTCGCTCGCTGCTCGGCATGCCAATGTTTTTTTTTTTTTTTCTTTGAGAAGCCAAGGCTAAGGCAGAGACCCCTGTCGCGCAGATGAACTGGTCGCACACAGCGCTTCTGGGCCAAGCCATTCGTCGCCTGCGGTTCGGCGCCGCCTAGCGGTATCCGTCTTGTTCTTGCGGCCCCAATGAAAAAAAAAAAAAAAAAAAAAACAAAGTCGGCAGTGCATGCATGGGTGAAGCGATGTTGAGTATCTGGTAGGAGATTGCGAAAAGGCGGCCAAGAAGTGAAAGGGTAATAAAAGTAATAAATCAATAAGCATGTAAAATTCATCGCCGTGGTCGTCATTCATAAGGCTTGTTCGCAAAGGTGGAGACGCAAAAAGAGAGAGTCGTGGTTCCCAGTTCCCCAGAAAGGGTCGACTGAAACGACCTGTCACAAAATGACGAGGCGCTGTCGAATCATCGTCGCACCGACGAGATATGCCGAAATGCCGCAGCCTCCAATTGGAGGCCCTGCCTGCGGGCGAGGTCGCGAGCGCGCTGCGTGCAGTAAGGACATGGAGGTGCAAGCGAGAGGGCAAGGCCAGGCCAAAAGGGCCCTGCGCCTTGTGCATGGCCTGCACTGCACCCAGGGACTTGCTCGGGTAGCACCGCATGTGCGCAGCAGTGCTCGTCTCGAGCTGTGGATGGAGATGCACATGGCTCAAAGCAGAGAAGCGAGGTGCAAGGCCATGTCTGTCCGGCAACAGCTCGGTGAAGTCGGTGGAGGTTCGCCGTCTTGTGCTCGAAAGCAACGGCTGGAGCTCGGACATAGCATTACAGACAGACAAGATAAGACGGGAGCTCATTGCAGATCTCACACCATCCATGTGGCCGACGGCTGCTGCGGTTCCCGGGAATCGCGAACCAAGCTATGCCGCATAGAGTGCTGACCGTTGAGCCGACACGCTGGGTGACGAATCCCATCATTTTCTGGGGTTGCCCGCGGGAAGACATGGGGGATGGGGATAAAGATAGCAACTCTCAACAGCCAGCGCCCGCTTTGGTCGTCGATCCAGGAGAGCCAGATGCCAGGTTAAAGTGCCTGCGGACATCTGACCTAAGCGTGCAAGGAGATGCAAGTGAGAGCTCGACTTTTTTGTATTTTTTGACAGGTGATGGGATGTTTCGACCTGTCAAGTAGAGCGTGTGTAGATGGGTGGAGCGACGGGTGCTGCTGATGACGGATTGTTTCCATGCGGGTTGGGATGGTGTCGACACTGCGTCGAGGAGATGCAAAAGAGTCTCGTGTCGTGTCTATGGTCCATTTGAGGAGGTGTCGTCTATAATATGCCGTAATGCTCGCTTTTTCCGAAAAATTGAAGATGATAAAGTACAACAGCGCAGTTGTATAAGGCTGCGTTGTGGGTGTCAGAAAGACGGTGCTGGGGATATTGCTTTACTTGTATCCCACGAGCTTGGCGCAACGCTCGCAGTAGTAGAGGTTGTGTGAGATGCGCACCATGCCGGCTGTGCTCGCGTCGTCCGTCGTCGTCGTCTCGGCGGATCGAGCGCACCGCATGCAGCGCAGCACGAGGACTGAGGCAATGGGCCGAGGGTTGGAGTCCATCCTGGATGAAGACGAAGGGACGTCGGAGTCGGAAGATGAGGCGGAGGAAAAGTTGTGGCTGGCGATCAATGCGGCAGCGGGCATCTTTTGGCGTGGGTGATGTTTGGTTGTTTTCAGTTCTAGAGATATTTCAGACAAAGCTGAAAGCGTCGACTGTGAAAAAGCAGTGCAAGCCGTGGGTTTTATCTGCTTTTTGCGTTCGCCTGGTGTTTCCGAATCGGCGGGGTGGGCTTGAATCGCGGCTTTGCAGGGTGACGTGACTGGGTGCAAAGGGTAAGCTGATGGAGTGAACCAGCGGGCTACTGTGTATGCACGGACGGGACAGGCAATGACTGTCTTGTGGTTGTATTGTATGCTGTGTGTTGTTTCTCGGTTGCTTTATTCCAGAATGAAAAATAAAGAATGAGAAATGAGTATGAGTAGTCGGAGAGAGTTTGGATGCAAGCGGTTCTAGTCGTCTAGAGCGGAGGGATGGGCCTTGTTTTAAGAAGTAGAAAGGAGGTGGGTTTAGTATCCTTAGAGGGTGTGGTTGACGACTGTAGGGCCAAGATGGGGACGAGGGGGCGTGTGGAAAGCAAAAAAAGGTACTTGGGTGCAAAAGCAAAAAGAAAGGGTCTCCAGCAAGGCAACAAGGAGGATCCACGACAGGGAGGGTACGATCGACGATATGGTCGGAGTTGCGAGTGACAAGGGATCTCGGGCACGGAGCGGCGCAAGTCACAGGCGGCCGGTGCGGGTTCTGCGGGCGTGTGGATTCGGCATGTGTCCAGCGCCGTTTCAGTTTCTTGGGCCAACTCACCCTTTTGCCTCTTTGTCGCATGTAGTCGTAAATGAGTGTCAATGTGACTTTCTGTTGCGAGCCATGGCTGCATAGGCGGCTGCTGCGGTCTCGATATCGTCCGATGTGCTTGTGCTGTGCGATTCAAATGACATGGGCGGTTGGGTTGTTGTGTTGTGTTGTGTTGTGTTGTGTTGTGTGCCCGTAATCATTTGATGTCCTACCAGCAGGCATCCAACCTTTTTTTTTTTTCTTCCTCTGCTCTCGCCCGATCGCCGTCCCAACCAAGCAGGGCAACGCAACAACTTCCGTTACGAGAGCGCTGGGACGGTACGGTATGAAGATAAGGGGGTGCGCGGTTCAGCCTCTGGAATACGGGATATATGCACTTGAACCATGCAAGCTAGAGAGGGCTTAGCAGGCCAGGCCAGGGAGGGCGTGCGTATGCAACTGCAGCACAGCCAGCAAACAAGGGCAGGGGTGTGCATTTGCGGTTATAGGAATAGAACACACATAATGCATATGCAGGATACGAGTTCCTTACTGTATTCTGTTCTGCTTGGCTTGCGACGCCAGTCTTCAGGGCGCTGCTAAAAAGCTCCAAAGCCACTTTTCTGAGAGGGGCGTGCGTGGGCGCTGGAACCCGGCCTGTCTAGCATTTCAAGCGCTGGTCCACTATGAAGTTTTTTTTTTTTTTTCTTCTCGTCCTTTGCCCGGGTAATTTACACGTATGAGTAAAGGACCAGGGAACCATCCGATATCTGGATGCCCAAAGTGCACGTTTTTTTTCAATGTTGTGGATATGCGCGACTGTCATCGTATCGTCTTTTTCGCTGTTGGTGGACCTAACAGGGGACACAAAACGGCAACCTGGAGGGCCAAAGGAACTGAACCTTGACCACAGCTCTGCTGGCACCGTTCTTCGCCTCACTCGCTAAGCCCAAAAGCTAAGAAAGCTGTCAGCCGAGTGTGCCGTCGTTGGCCAGACAAAGGCGGCAGGATTCTGGAGGAGCAAGGCCAAGGCGTGCAACTCCGAGGGCCGGTCAAAGCTCCGACGAGCTTACTGTACTGGCAAAGATGCATCAAAGTTGTGTGTCTAGTGTGAGTCTTGGTATTCTGGCTGTTTAGGGAAGCTTTGTCCTCGGTTAAGCTTCTGTCTCGCAAACGCCTCCAGCCTTTAAGCCGCCCGGTCCGAGACCTGTCTGTCTGGGCTGCAATAAGCTGCGTCGTCCTGGAGGCTGTACACTCCAGTCAGGTGTGCTTGTGTGTGCGTGGACGGCTACGAATACTACAGGCTCATTCATGTCTGTTGACTGTTGATGCCAAAATAAGAACACGGAAAACAAAACACGCAGCATGCGAGATGTGACGGTGGCCAGACCAACTAGGAATGCCAAGTGTCATGCAGAACCGCTCCGTGCTTGCGACGCTCTCGCTCTAATTAGACGGACTAGTCGTGCATTTCATTCACGATGCGGAAACAGACTCAAATTGAAACGCTCCAACATGCGAAGATGACATGCCGGTGAAGCTCGCCATCCCTGTGGCTACAACGTAAAAGCAAGCCAGGGACATCCTAGAGCAAAGCCTAAAGGCATGAAAAACAGAAACCAAAATACGGTGAATGGATGTGATTCATCCAACGTGCTCCGTGCTGAAGCTGAAGCTGCCCAACTCCACGGGCAAACAAGAATCAATCCATCCCATTTGCCGTTTTGAATGTTAATGCGCCGCGAAACGCCACCATAGTGGGATAGTGCCGCGTAGTCAAAACTGTAATGGAGAAGATTAATGCCCAAAGCCACGCGTTTTTTACTCTACACAATACACGAAGACTCAGAGAAAAAGGGCCTCGGCCAACGGAGACTGGCAGGCTCCGCCAGAGAATAAGCCACCAGAGACATAGCATGATCCAGAGAGGTGCTAGGACGGTGGATTTTGTCCATGGAATTTAGCTGGCCAGGACTTGGACCCGTCCACAGGGAGGCTGACGCGCAGCAGTTCTCAGCATCTCGGGTCGAACAGCCGTCCGATGGGCCGGAGTTTGTCTTCTCAGCAGATTCCATCGCCAATCATCCATCACGGTGTTGCCACTCCCAACTTTGTTGACAGACCCTTGCAAACATTGGGCAGAGATGTACGAGTATTCCTCATCCGCAAATCCACATCCCACATCGGCTATCGGAAAACCCACGCGAGAAGAGATTTTGTGCATATGGAAACAAAAAATACGCCCAACGGCAAAGGGGGAGGGAGCAAGAAAAAAGTTCCAGAAGGTCAGAGATAAATGAAAGGGCCTGATGGAATGGATATCCTCATCAAGATGAGGCAGCGAATCGGTGGCTTCGGGCTCCGTTTTGTGGTTCCCAGCTGAAAGAGGTGCGCTGTTTCGAGCAATTCCTCGAAATCTGGGCAAATGGGAAAATTGGAACTCAAAGCCCGCGTGTTTCAGATTTCCGCGATGGCGCTAGGCTTGGAACTGTCATCCATTGATCCATTCTGCTTCTTGTGAATAATATCGGCCTACGGGGGCTGGAGTCATACGAAAAAGCTCGGATTGATGCATGGATGCTTGGGGGTCAGAAGCATTGAACTGTATTTCCTGCCCAGGTGGATTTTTAGTGCATGCCAACTCGCTGTGCGACAACAGGTTACAGCGTGTCTCAGCTGCACTGAGACAAACAGAATTTGATGCAGTGCCTGATACGGAGAAAGACAGCAGCAAGACAGATGACTCATCTCCAACCAAACACATCCCCGCAAGGCGTCTGAATCATCGAAGCCGCGCTGACTGGCTGCAATCCCATCCCATGCTTGCATTCTGGTGCAGGCTTACGCACATATGACCGACTGTGCTGCACAGTACTTTTATTGATTATATTGACTTGTAGGCATTAGCACCATGGAGAGCGTCCGAGACAAGACACCGGCTACTGGTTACATCTTCGGAAACTCCCCTGGATCAGCATCAGGCAAACAAGGCAAAGCAGGGAAACGAACGAAACGGTGAGCATGAGCCGATGCAAGGAATGAACCATTATGGCCCAATCGCCCAATCCGCTTGCCCGTCGACGATGCAGGAAGCGTCGCCTCCACGTCACCATGATTGCGTCCTGGGTGCGTTTCTGCCACAGTACCTGCAGACACGGGGGGACCCATCATCAGCGAGCCATGGTTCCTTTGACGGGCCTCCTCCTCCTCTCGTCTTTTTAGCCAGCCAGTGAAAAAGGGAGAAACTTGTCTCTCGCGAGAACTCATCAGTCAGCATCGTTCTTCTTGCTCGCTCTCCTCTCGCGGTTAGCGCCATCGGCCGCTCCTTGATTGCCCTGCAAATCTCCGATCCCCAGCCCCTTGGCAGAGGTTCCCAGTTTCCAGCCCAAAGCCTGTTTTCTTGCCCTTGCTCGCAGCAGGATGAGAGGCCGTCACACTGAGTGAGAGCGCCGTTCCAAGAAATTGATTGATTAGGGCGGGTCTTGTCTCCTTATCTCGGTTTGTTACGTTGAATCGAACTTCTTTGTTCCGTCCATGGAGGCTTCGGCCACAGCTTCTCCGCTCCCCCCTTTCAACAACCCCCTTCGCCCAGTCCAGTTTTCATCTAACAAACGGTTTCACCCTGGACACAACCTTCCGTTTCCTGGCAGGCCGTCGTACGACGTGGCTGGTCGGCCTGGCTGATGCGACCGTTTGACTCGTCAGTTTTCATTTATCCAAGGCAGCCTCTCGGTCATCCTTTGCAGCTCAGTCTCAAGCCACTATGCGTGC